ATAGTTTGGCGCTCCCAATACCAAGCCTCCTTTCTTAAACTCTCCCTTCATCCTACCGACCGCCTCTTCCTGGTCTTCGCCCCAGACCCATTCTTGATCCTGGCGCACCAACTTCCTTAAATGTTCCGTCTTCGTGGCAAAGTCCTTCACGAAGCTCCTCCAACATCCGCACGTCCCAAGGAAGCTCCTCACATCTGTTATCGAGCGGAAGGGCACCGGCCACTCAAGAATCTTGGCTGTCTTCTTTACATCACGCCTTCGCCCACTCTCATTACAGACAAAGCCTAGAATCGTGGCCTCGCTCGCCGTCAGGTTATGTTCCTCCAATAACCCCAGAACCTGATCGATGTCTTGGACATGCTTCCAGACAAAGCGTCGCACACCGGCCATCACTTCATCTTCCTCCTTCTCCTTCGGACCTTTGACCGCCAGGTCATCGATATAGGGTTGAGCGATATGTGGGCTGACCGTCTGCATGACTCTGATCATATGCCTTTGCACCATCGCCACTGCATTCGTCCAACCTTGGGGCGCCACGTTCATATGAATCAGCCCTCTGGAGTGTGCATTGCCATTACGGGTCTGTCTGGCAGGTATACGGGGAATTGGTCATACCCCGAATAGAGGTCTATAAGCGAGATTATAGGCATCCCTGCGCACGATTCTGACAATTGGTCCGCGTTCGGCAATCCTCCCGCGTCCCGCACCGTCACCGCATTTAACCGTTGCAAGTCCTGCACCCACCTTAGCGTCCCATTTGGTTTAATAAAACAAAACAAAGGCGATGCGTACGGCCCACTGGAATAATCGGCCACGTGCGTCCGCATCTTGYCGTCCAGGTAGTCCACCACCATCTTTTCCTYGTCCRGATTGGGGTACCGCGCGCCCCTTAGATTCCATGGCTCACGTGGGACCGTGTGGATCCTGATCATCGGGATCTTGTTTACATCCAGCCTCCCACGCTCGTCTTCGTTGAATGCATAAGCGCGGTGCCTTTTCTTCATCAGGCCCACCATCAACGCTCTCTCCTGGGGCGACCGAAAATCGGGCTCCCCAATTATCAGTTTCCCCTCATTTTCGTCGTTGATACGGCACGGCCCGGCCAATGCGTGCTCCCGCATACGCCGTATCAACCCTCGCTCCCGCTTGTAGTAGGCTTCCTCATCCTCTGTGACGAGCACGGGAACTGGGCGGCACTTCTTATCTATGGTCTTGTACCGCCTTTGGGAACCCTGCTTAAGCCCTCCCCTAAAAAAGGCCAACTTGTCGCTCGGGCCTGGGCCATCGCACGGCCTCCCCTCCCTCCCGGAAGCCGATACACCAACTCCACCTCCCCTTCCTGAGGGTTCTTCAAAACTTGTTCCCTCAATGCCTTAATGGCCTCCGGATCCACCATGTCGTGAGTCGATACCACCTCCATGGCCTTATTCACATCCGTGAGGCTCAATGTCAGCACCTTAGCCCTATSTTCCTCCTCGGGGACTTCCCAAAGCCGTCTCCGCTCGTTCTCTGATTCCTCAAAGGTGAATGAGCCTAGATTGGGCCTATTCCTCCCGCTCCCCGGCCCCGTGTTCCGGCAGGTGATAACTTCATAATTCCCACATGTCGGGTCGCACAGGAGCAGGATCATCATTCCGTCGTGCTTGTTGAAGATCAACATTTCCGTCCGACACAGGAACGAACGCCCCAAAAGGATGGGGTGATCGATATCGGGCATAACGAAAAAGCAAGTTCTGGCTCGCACCTTCCCAATCTCTATAGTCACATTTGACGCTGTGCCGCAAAAAGCGGCCGTGCAGTTAGCGTCATGCAGCATGCCATGGTCCGAGCAGTCGATCTCCGTGCCTATCATCACCGCCTCCTTCTCCCTGATGATGTTCATCTCTGCGCCCGTGTCCACCATCCCAGTACACTTCTGGTTCCTTATCACCAAATTCACCTGCCCGCACGCCACGCATTTCCAATTCATCCTTGTCACTGCCTCTGTCCACTCCACCTCTCTAGGCAGGACCATACTCAGATGGACATTTGGCACCA